TGGATTGCTTCAATATTTAACAGGTACATTTTTCGGTAAACAATTCTTATTACGAATTGTTAATTTATTTAATAAATTTATGATTCCTGTTGATCCAAGTCTTTTTCATTTATTGCTGCTTGGAAAAGTTCGTCCTGATTTTTAACAAGTAAAATAAAAAATATAATAAAGTCAAATCCTACTTAGGTCAACAAAGAAATTTTATTTTAATAACTTTTTATTAAATAATTAAAAATAATGTAAATATATATATATACAAATGACAGAATGACAATATTAAGAGGCAAAACGTCTTTTTAAATTAATACTAAAAACTTTTTAACCATATTAAATTTGAAATTACATTTTTTAAACTTGAATATTTTTGGCAAGAATTTTTTTAAACCAGTGTAAAAGGAATGCTGTGAAGTCTACAGCATATAATGATTCAGGTTAAGTTAAATCTTCATCACAATTTAATAAAAGCTTTTTTATCCAATGTTGCTGCCATCTAGAGGAATATCAACTGAAGTATATCTCTTGAACAAAATTAACTAAATTTAATCAATGAATTAATAATTGAAAAAAAACTCTATTAACAAAAAGGGCCATCCACTACAAATTTAAAAAATTTATTTGAACTTGAGTGGATGAATAAAAAGAATTTTATTAACGATTGAAAATTTGAACAAGATATATATGTATCAATACATATATAGGGAGAGCGTGAACTAATAGTAGGAATTGATAAAACAGATTTAATGAACTTACAAATAAACCCTATGCCGTTGGCGATCTTTGACTATATTTCAACAATCGTCCTTAGGATGGTATCAAATAAGTTGCTGGAATTCATTAAAATTCTTGGCGATTAATTTTTGACACAGTTATATATATAATATTTGGCTATTAATTTTTTGAGTATGCAGTTAATCTTTCCCGATAAATCTCTGACATGTAGCTATGGCGTATGCTTATTATATAAATAAAGAATTTAAATTTCATAATTCCAGTTTAAAGTAACTTCACGTTTCTCATAATTCAAAGTATGACTTATTATAACGGGTTTTATTTAATAAATATTCATTTTTTTTTACTTTTCATCAAATTGTAAATTAACGTATTTTTTGAAGTGTGGAATTAACCTCTCTCTCAGAGAGTGAACTTAGCAGATAACCACAATTTTAAAAATTGTCAAAATATTTATGTGTTATCTTTAGTCATTCACAGATAGTAAACTAGGATATTCTAAACAAAATAATATAAATTAGAAGAAACAAGGCAGACTTTGTTAGAACTGACATTCTTCCGAGAAAAAATAAACGTTTTTAAGATCACAGAGTAAGATATAGTACCACTAATTCACCTTTGCATCCTTTTCCACATGAACTTGGAAATTTAAAACAGAATATAGAATCTTAAAAGCGATTTAATTGATATCAAGATCCTAGTTTTTTTTATTTCTCTCCAAAACAGTAAAATATAATAAAATTAAAACCATATATTCTATTTCATTAAAAACTGGATCATACAAACACACACATCTAATACATTTTCCTCAACTATTCTTTCTTGTAGACCTCCTTATACAATGGTAATTAATTCCTTTCTGGCAGTATTTCCAAATAAACTCATTAGTCAAAATATTCTCAAATGCTGGTCTTTTTCCCAAAATAAACCAATATTAATTAAAACAAACCATTAGCAATGCATCATTGTGTCTACTTATATTTAAATTTAAAAAAGATTATATAAAAAAAATTGTGTTACTACGCGTTATAAATTCGCAATGAATATCAAAGCTGAAATATTAAATTTTTTCAACAAGAATAATGAAAAGTTTATTCTAAAAAATCGTCTGTCTTTAAAAAACATTCCGCTTTTTGTAGTTCATTTTCTTAATATATTTCATCTATTCAATATGTAACCTTAATTATGAATTCTTGTAGAATATTTATTATATATAAATAGTTTAGATCAACAAGGCACAATATAAGAAAGATCTATCATCTCTCTCTCTGTAATGCTTTATTTTTAATTTTTTAGTTACACTATCTCATGTTTATTAGAGCTTATTATTTTTGCGATAATATTTTTTTTCTAATTTAACTTTTTGGATTAATTTGTCTTAAAAATGCAATCCGGTTTTATTTCTTTTGCATATTTTTGCTGAGTAACTGTGAAGCTCAAAATGCGTAATTACACTTAAACAAAGATTTAAGTATTTTTTAAATTTATCTTGCTTTCTTTACTTCTTTAGAGAAGATGGACAATTTTTATCCGAATTTCAAAACCTACTTATAAGGAAAAGTATTCTATGGTATAAGGATAAAAAAAAAAAGAGAAATATAAAATCAATTTTAATAATAAATATTGCCATATAGTGAATGCATTTCAGGTATTTAGGGTTTTCGTGGTAAAAAGGCAAGAAAATTTAGTATTTTTTAACATTTATCGCATTGTGTGTGTGTGATATCACATCTATTAAATAGTTGCCAGATAAACATCAATTATATTTAACAAACGCAATATTAAATTTTAAAAACCTACTGTCGAAACTGTGTTTAATAAAGAGGAAGAGGAGGAGGAGGAGGAGGGGGGGGAGAATAGCTTGAATTAGACTGATGCGATGAAGCTAGGAGAGAGCTGGCTGTATGTGTGAAATACTGAAGTGTAATTGTTCTATTCACATTACGTTTTATAAGTAATCACCGATATTGCAGAAATTTAACATATTTAATCTATATCAAGGAAAATAATTATATTTTGAATTTAATATCGTCTAAGCAAAATTAAATCTTTCCCATTTTTTTCAAAACTTTAACTCTTTTGATGCAATAAATTTTGAAATTTTTGTTTTACTACTCTTAGTCTCCCTAACATATAAACTCTTTTTCACATAGGTTAGTTCTGATTTTCTGATAATGTTTTTATCTCTATTTAACCATGATCCACCATACTAATCGAGACCGGCGAATCTAAATATTATTATACATAAGAAAGCTAAAGTATAAATTTTAAAAAACACTAAATTTTTCTGTAAATTTATACTGTGTCAGAGCTCAAATGATATAATATCACTTGCTTTTTAAAAATTATTTCAATGTTATATTTCACTTTGGGGCAATTGCAAAGCTTTAAAAAGTTTCACTACGAGAGATTAGACCAGGGGTGGCCAACCCGCGGCACGCGTGCCAGTGTGGCACGTCGGAGTTGTAACAATGGCAGGTGAAGACTTATTGAAAAAAATTTTAAAAAATTTAAAAATTAATAAAATAACATTTTTACAATTTTATTGAAATACAGTTTTCTCAGACAAAAAAATATTTTGAATAGATTTAATTGAGTTACAATAGAAATATATGCAGAATCACTCATTTATTGTTGTGTGCTCTGATTATCCAAAGGAAGTGCACTCGTGAGATTTTTGAATTTGGGGGAAAGAGTTTCAAAATATTCGGAAGAAAACAATGAGTGCCTTTTACTCAAGAATGGTTTTGAAAATTAGCTCTTACCTTCATTATGGCTGGTATTCAAATAATTTAAAATTACACAGAAAAATTAATTTCTTCTATCCTAATTTGTCGTATATCTTTTATGAACATACTTACTTTTTTTCTATTGGAGACTAAAACATAAGTTTGTACTTTTTCCTTTTTATTTTATTATTTTTTAAGTTTTTTGTCTTTGGCTTGCATAAAAAACGCGCAACTTACTTAAAAATCTAACAAGGTTATAAGTAAAAAATTTTCAACTTTTCATATACTTTTATTTGTTTGTTGGAAAAGTTGCAGAAAGAAGCGTACAATTGTTTGTAAGTAGGTGGCGCTCTTTTCCAAAAGATTGAGGTGAGGGGAGCCACACAGTACAGGTGTCATTCGATCATGGTTCAAGATTACGACGTCTGTCACCTGAAGTCCTCTTTTAGCTGAACAATGCGACGCTAATATTCACTGACTTACTCCCCAAAAGGTTGTCCACCCCTGGATTAGACCATGGCAGGGTTATGTCTCACACCTATACCTTTAACAACAGTTTACTCGGTAATGTTCAATTTGATGTGTACAACTATAGGTAAGTGAACAAGGCATTGATGGAGCGAAAAAATAGGCACAATTAAAATCTACTTATTACTTCCATTATTTTGTCATTATTACTTTAAATCAGGGGTGGGAAAATAGTGGGCTGCAAATTACTTTTATGTGGTCCGGCGAGATAGCCAGGAAATTTGCTTTGAACCAACATTTCTTTCGTGTGCATGATCAGAGATTTATTTTTACAATTAGGAAAGGCAGTAGAAAATCTTTTAGTTACTTTAAGAGATCCTTTTTGCAGCGCTTGGAGGACGAGTTCAAAAGGTTTCAGGGTCTTAAGAAAATTGAACCCAAATTCACTTTGCTTAGCTATCACATTACTGATGCTGTTGATGCAACAGCTGGGAAGTTGCAGCTTGAACTTACTGATTCGAAATCAGATCACTGTGTGAAGAAAATTTGTAATGCTATGACAGTGGCTTTTAGAAATATTTGTCAGCTGAAAAATTTCCGTGTATGAAGAAACTTTCTGGGAAATTGCTTTTTATATTTTAGTTCACTTATATTTGTAAGCACCATTTTTCTTTTGCTTGAAAAACAATAAAAATGAAAAAGATAAAAGTTGACTGACGTAAAGAAGTAGGCTATGATGATAGTTTCATCAAGCTATCTCGCTCCTGATTAAAGCAAGTAATATTTAAAAAAAAATTTTAAAGTCAATTTCTACTTAAGTCAACAAATAAATTTTATTTTGGATACTTTTTATAAAAAAATTACAATTAATATAAATATGTCTGTATGTACGTACGAGGAAATCACAACATTAAGTGATAAAATAGAAATTGATTTTCCTTGCAATTTTCCATTTTCCTTTCTATACAGGGTGTAGGAGTATTATTTTTGTTTCTACTATTTATTCATTAATTAAATTTAATTATTCCGATAAAATAGAATAGTAAAAAGAAATCTCATTCTCAGAAATTAAGCCATCTCAGGTGGGATTCGAACCCACAACCTTTGGACTATGTCCAACGCACTGTTCATTGCACTACAGGGACACTACGAGCGATTTTTTTATATATGGTATTGGATTATTATTTTTGTTTGTTACTATTTATTCATAATTAAAATTTTATTAATGAATTCATATTTAAAAAAAAGTGCTTTTACATCAAGTGTCACCCATTACAAGTTTTAAAAAAGGTATACGAACTTGAGTGGTCGAATAAAAAGTATTTTATAAACGATTGAAAATTTGAACCGCAGATGCCAGTGGCAATATTTCGTCTATGACCAGTAGCAACATTTGACAATTTATTGCTTGCGACCGGCTCAACGGAAAATATTATAACTCTTCAATGACTACTTCATTCACGGTTTTATGTATGGAAAAATTCCATCCGTTACTAACCTATGCTTAGACTTCTCCCATGTGAACAGCAAAGAATTCCACGCACTCCAGTGGGTAAAACAATCTTTTGTGATGACCTAGGCTCGGAATGTAAGGACGTTTGAGCTTGTGCTCCGATCCTTTTAATTCTATTAAAATGCTAGTCCTTTACTTATGTATGTAAAAATAATGGTTTTGTTTAATAAACGTATTTTAATTAGCTATTGGACTTAATTAAGAACCCCTTTGCCGCGTGTCCCGTTGTTACATTGGGTCACCCCTATATCCCTTCTAGAGCAGTTTGTTTGCAACAGGTATTTCATCAACTGGGGCTGGCCGGCCGCCTTAGCTTAGTGGTCAAGGTATGACTCTTATTACTTGTAATTTACACAAAAAGGTGTCAATTACATTTTAATATGTAGTGTTTATGAATTTAAAATCTGTTTTGTGTGGTTTATAAAGCACATTGAAAGATGAACCTCTGAAAAACGAATTTTCCATATAAGGAACTTTTTTGGGATTCAGCGACTTTGTGAAATGGAGGTCCAATTGTACTCCAACAAACTATAATTATTTAAATTTCCTATTTTAAACTTATAAAATTTATATTCAATAGGACTTGTTTATTTTATCTTGAAATATACATGAATGGTTGGTTTGGATTGAGAATTAATTAGAATTGCCCAAAGCTATTTTTGACGAATCTCATAGTTATATGTGATGGTGAAGTAAGCAAGGCATTTAGGGCTAAGAAAAAAGCACTTTCTTTATTTTATTCTACCATTGTAGAAGAGGCCACGGTAGTCTATTGGCCAGGGTCGCGGACTCGTGATTGGAAGGTCATAAATTCTATCTAGAATGCTTCTAAATGCACGCGATTTTGAGGGGCTGATGCAGGCAAAATCTTTTAAAGCTCAAAGAATTCCCGTTGATCCCGTTACTTTAGAAAGGGGAAGTCAGCTGATGAGTCATCCTGAGCAGGCTTCAACCAGCAATCAGCAAATCAAACCTGTCGTTGAAAGAAATTAACTCAGTTTTAGCTAACTTCCTCATTTCAAATGACATATCTGCAGTAAAATTAGAGCTAAACCCGAGGCTCCATTTACACATCACTAACTATGAAAAGCAATGCATAAAAATTGGCTACGATATAAAATAAACCAAAATGTTTAAAAAGTGGGAGAAATTCAGTATTTTTATAGTTAGTGTATGATATAATTTTTGGTGATGTTTCGGTTTCTTTAACTGCACTGAAAACAAAAACAAAAATTGTGTGTGCATATGACCACACGATAGAAGTGTGAACTTTAAATTTATTCAAGAAAAGATTATCCAAGTGTTCTGATGTACTACGTTCTCTTTCATGACAATATCGTATGCGGGCGTTAAGTAGTTCTCGTTTTAGTGCACATTAATCAGTGGATTTGTTTATTTCCTCCATTTTCTATAAATGACAATTTTTAAATAGTTATGCATTCGTATGCATATATATAAAAGCATACAAGAGTTAAATGTCAATTAATTATATTATTTAAAAACATTTATAAGTAAATTACTTATCAAGGTTATAAACATTTATATTATATAAATGTATAGCACTCTTGCATACTATCGCGAGAATGACAACGTTCAAGATAGCTCGCAATGTTGTCAACCCTGATTTCCCATAAGTCATACACTCTAAATTGGCAGCCATGTGCTTCCTTTCACACGATGTTGCCAATATCGTAGTGATAATACTTAGGTACCGTTTGTATATAGTAGTATGATATACAAGGTAAGGCTAACAAACACACAAAATGAGAGAATTCGCACTTTTTCACAATTAATGCTTTTATTTTTAAGTAATCTTATTTGTCATTACAAACCAAAATATATAGGCAACTTTCTCGACAATTAACTTCATTAAACTTTCGGATTTTAATTCTTTTTGCACATTTTCGTGCTTAAATGCTATTTCTGCTGTATCAAGAAATATATAATATCTTTCGTTTCTTATGATCTTTTATGTGATAATAGTATTTTTCAAATATTTTTGCTCGCGCTCCTAATCTCTCGTTCACTTGCAGGAGTTGAGTGGAAGTGGATTGCATTACAGTAATATTTAAATAAAGGAAATAAAACCTTGCTAGGAAAAGGGTGCATAAAAGTTTTATTTAAAAAAAACAGACCTTCTCATAACTTTTCAATGAGGTTCATTCATCACCAGAGGGAAATGCGATCGCATAGCAATTATCACGTTGTTATCAAATGAACTATTAGAGCTAATCGCATTACACTTGTGGTTGTGTGCTGACCGCCGATTTTGCTTACATTCAAATTTTATATTCTGTAATTTTTTTTAGTGCTCTAAATATTTTTAATATTTTCTACTTTTACTTTTTGTATAGTTGTTAAATATATAGATAGTTTGAGTTCACAGTATTAGATTTATATGCTTATATTTTAAGTTCATACTTCTGTGTTCATTGACTTCGTGTCTTGTATTTCTGTATAATTTTAGGCCTAGTAATTAGTTTGTCAGCCACATTGTGTTTCAAAAAATTATGGATCATTCAATTGAACAAAATCCTGTATACTTAAATATTAAATATTAAAGTTTAGAACAGAGAGGGGGGGGGGAGCACTCGGCTGAGTCAATTTTTTGGCTTCCGGAATCGATTGCCAAACAACTTAATTTAGCGATAGGTGTTTTTGGCCACCGGAATCGACTGTGTCTAGCAACATAATTTAGCAATAGGTGTTCCGAGAATATACGAATTGTAATTTTGTAATAAAAATAGAGAAAATGTGAAATTAAATAAATATTTATAAAGCTTTCCGTCATGCATATAAAAATATAAATTATTTGTTATTTCAAGTTAAAGAAAAGAAAGGAGGATTTTTTGTTATATGATAGTAGATGCAAATCTGAAAATGCTGCCAAAATACTCAGACGACTCAAACACGTGGGAATTTGTTGAACTTATTAGTCATGTGATTATGACGTCAGATGAATAGTCCATTTAAAACTAAGCGATCGTTACCGACGCGACCACTATTGCTAATTCGGCGATTGCGCTTAACGCAGCCGAATCTGACGCTTGATTTAGATTCATTTATTCAGCAAAACGCGTCTAAAAATTATCAAAGTCCAATAATAAATACAATTCTGACCAACTTTTACAGACAAGCAAAAAAACTATTTAACAAAAATACATTTAATCTCTAGCCCACTGCAATCTGTGAATTTGATATTTTTAATCTAATGTATTTTTTTATCCTCAGTCTATATATATTTCGAAAGAAAGGAAAATTTATTTCGACTTTTACGAAGAATCCGTCGGACGTATTTTATAAACCACTCTTGCACGGAGTCCGTTTGTTTATATAAGAACTTTAAACCAAATTGTGGTAATAAAATGTCTGGAGTCTTCAAAATGAAACAATCGAAAGGTAAATAAGAAAAGTGGAATACTACAAAATTGCGATTTTTTTTTCTCTTTAGAAGGTCAAATGGTATCTATTCTTCTATTTGCTACTTCTGCTCTGCGATTTAAATAGAGAACAAAACCTCAATTTATCAAAATTCGTTTTTGTTTCACACCGGAATCAAATCATAAATAAATATTTGTTTTATATTTCTTCCCTAAAATAATTCGACGAATTTCATTCGGTTCCATCAAGATGTTCACTCAGATTTATTTCAATTCCGTATTTAAAGGAAGCTGCTTTTTTTTCTTTCGAAAATTGAATGGATCGAGTTTTTATTTTATTTTATATTCCAGATAATCTAGTTTAAATCAGAAAATTTGCGTCAATTTTTCGTTTTTATATCGACCTTTAAATCGAGGTATCGATTACTAACGTTTTCAAATTTCTTTTAAAAATTAAATAACGTAAATTTCAAGTATCATAATTTAGAAGATTTTTATTACTTTTCTCATAACACTGAGTTTGGCTTTGAGTGCAAAATTACAGCTGTATTGATCTAGCAAAGTTAGAATGCTACTATTTAATATATCGCTTCTAAGATGCTTAAAAACAAATTAATTGTTAATGCTCAGCAAATTGCTCCTAAGTTGGTTATTTCATAGAATACATTTTTAATGAATTTTTGTCCAATGGGCTGCATATTGCCAACTAAGCTTTGTAGACGCGACAAGTCCCCAAGAGTTCAAGCCATTTAATTAGTCACACCGTCTAGGGGGTGGTGGCCGCTAACGAATTGCGACGCTTGAGTTTTATTTAAACTCTCATTGGATGCTAAATATTGCTGAGAGTAACGGATCCAAATTGATACTCAAAGGATATTTTACATGCCACATAAACACATGACATATGTGTCTACAATTTTCTCATCTAGAAAATCTATCTACTCCAGTTGGGGTGGAAACTGATACATTGGGCTTGACACGGGAGCCGACTATTAAATAATATCAAATGAGTTCCTTTAAAATCTGTAGTAGCACACATATTGTAGATCTTTTTCTTAGTTCACTAAACCTACGCCATTAGGTGAACCGCAACACTTCCAAAAAATTAGAAGTAACCCGTATCCTGGAAAAGTTTGCCCACCCCTGCAAAAGAGCATCCTAACGCAGCAACGAATTGTAGAGCTTCTAAATTTTATTGGTAAATGCCAGAATCGAGTCACTTTACTTGGTTAATCTATTTACAAAGTAAATT